CAAAAACAAGGTGAATTAAAAAAAAATTGAAACTAACAAATTATTTGTATATTGATTCAATTAAATTGTATCATTTATTTATTTAATTTATTGAATTTTTTATTGGAATTGTACATGTATACCATACATTAATTTATTTATATATATATATGTATATATATATATACATATATTTTGGTTTTACTCAACCATTAGCATTGGATTTCATGTTCAACCAGGACATTTAGTAATTTTTGGCTTACACAATAACTGTTGTAGTTGTTAATTTAAATTAATATTTACAATATTGGAAATGTTCCACTTAGTAAATACAATAGTTAAATATACAATATACCATATGCAGACATACACACATGCAAATATATTCTGAAATTCCATAGTTGTTTCGTGAGAATGTTAAAGACTTGTGCGGGGCTATTTTTCATGCGATATATGTATATGTATATATAAACATATGTTAGACAGAGCACGTACATATTTATATCCTCTTTAAAGTATTCCTATTTATTTTTATACTACTTATGTAAATGGAGATTATTGATTTCTATTTATACTCGGAGTGGATTTTACATTGGCGAGTTGTTTTTCTGTTAATTTGCGTGCATCTCAGTCTTCAACACCATCGAGCGAATTTCAAAAGTGTATACACTACTTTTCTATATTATTTTGATTTCGTATTCCTGCTGGACCTAAATCTAGAGTCTTTATTTTTACACAGTGAACATACTAATCGCGTATTATTATCCGGAAAAACTGATACTATATAGATGTGAAGTATTTTAAAAAAAGAGTTTTCTATTTCTTGTGTATGTTGTTGTAAACACTTTTCAAATAATAAAATTAATTGTATTAAAAGATCTATATAATACTTTATAGTTTTCTCCGCACATATACTTTCGTAGGTATGTTTTTTTTGGGAAAATTCTCAAACATTTTTAATATATCTTTTAATTACATAATTAAGTTAACATTTCAATATTTTACAAGTTAATTTAGTTTTTTTTAAACTAATTATATGCGTGTTATATTTAACTATGATATATATGGCATTAAAATACTAGTATTATAAATTTTATTTTTATTTTTATGTTTTGGTTTTAGGACTTAATTTTTTCTCATTTTTTTGTTTATTTTTATTTTTATTTATTTATTAATTATTTTTTTTGCATATTTAATTCATTAAGTAGATGAACATTTCATTAATTTATTTGGACTGGATAAATTTCTCTCTCTAATCTGCCTTATTTTCGTGTATTTTGGGTAGGGTTAAAGGGTACAGTTACACTCTTGAATAAGGAAAAAGTATTGTAATTTCATAACAACGCCTTAATAATAATCATAGAAATCTTCCCACAACTTTAATTGCTTGTTTGTGCGATTAATCGCATTACTTGCTTATGACGCACAGTCACACACACACCCACACAAACACATGGCCACGAACTTAATTGGTTAAACAATTGCGGTTAATTAGCTTGATTTACATTCTACAACCGCTGTGGTGCTATATATTTACACACAATTTCACATGGATATAAACGCTTAAGTCACAAGCATTTTCACCAAAATTTAAACTAGTTCAAGTTCGGCCGAGCAATGTGTGGTTTGCATTACGTATATACCCTCGGATAGTCAGATTAACAAATCCAAAGCTCAGAATTATTATTATTTCTTTTTTTAGGAAACCCAAATACCGGCATAAAGCTTTTCTTCTTTACAAAATAGTAAAGAGCAATAGAAAATATAAGTGAGTCAAGTGAGTCTAAATCATAATTAACAATAAAACGAGAAAAAGTTGCACGGAAGAACAATACCAGTTGTAATTTACAATTTAAATTATAGTTTAATATTTGTTAATTTTATATTACATATGATATTATTTTTTATAGAAATATACTTTCTCTCAATTTCCAGTATTCTTTTTTTGTACATAAAAAACAATTGATTATCTATAGGAATGGAGTAATCTATGTATATAGTGTATGCTGGTTAGGGCAAGTACAATGTGAAGAACAATTTCATTTATGGTGGAATATAAATTTTTTTTTTCACATTTATTTAATTTCTTTTATTTGAATTATTTCTTTTTTCCTTTTTTATTTTATGTTATTTTATTTGTTTGTTGTTTTAATTTAATTTAAATTGCTTACATTATTCCAAAGAAATATGGTTTAAAGCAGCTCAATAAAACTAAACTTGAGAAAATAATCCAACAGATGAATGTCCTGAAAAACATCCAGGAACCATGCAAAAGCATGTCTTTCGAATAAAGTTTTCTAAAAATTAAGGAAGCTGTTACACTAAAATATTTATTATATATAGAATATCTGAGCACTTGATCGTGGATGGTAAAAGAATAAGGGAAAAACAGAAAAAAGTGGAAACGACACACATGTAGCTTAATAACCCTTAGCACCTACCATGGGCATCCAAAAATCGCATCCGACTCTGGAAAAGGAATTCCGATGAGGAACAAGTTCTGGTTTCCCAAATAGCAGCTATAATTTCTACAGCCCAAATTATTGCAATCAAGTTTTTCGATATCCCAAAAATATTTAGCATAAAATAGCTCAAGAAAACTAAACTTAATTTAATTCAATTTTTCTATTTTACTTTATTTTAATTCATTTTGTTCAAGTTTATTTTAATTTATTTTACTTTATTTAAGTTAAATTTAATTTAGTTAATTTAAATAATTAATTTATTTATTTTTCTTTTATTTAAATTTTTTTATCTTTTTATTTATTTAATTTAATTTATATTATTTCACGTCGTTTCAAAAAAAAATTAATTGAATTTATTTTGTTCAGTTTTTTTATTTTATTTTATTTTATGTTATTTTATTTTATTTTATTTTATTTTATTTTATTTTATTTTATTTTATTTTATTTTATTTTAAATTATTTTATTTTATTTATTTTTTTTATTTTTTTTTTAATTTATTTTATTTCATTTTATTTTATTATGTTAATATATTTTATTTATTTTTATTTAATTTAATTTAATTTTATTTTTTGTTGTTTTATTTAGTTTTATTATATTTAATTTTATTGCAATTTACATTATTTCACTTCATTTCATTTCAATTCTTTTTATTTTATTCTATTTGTTTTTTTCTTATTTTTTATATTTTGTTTTATTTTTATTTAATTTTTTTTTAATAATATTTTAGTGTGTTTTATTTTGCTGATTTATGTTATTCAATTTTATTTAGTTTACCTTAATTTTTTATTTTATAAAATTGGATTTCTCAATATATTTTACTTTATCTTATTATAATATATATTATTTTATTTTATATTCTGCTTTTATTTTTTATTTACATTTTTACAATAGTTTTAGTTTATGCCATTTAATTTTTTATTTTGTTTTATTTGCTTCTTACTTTAGTTATTTTGGTTTGATTTTATTTGTTATTAGGTTATTTGATTAGATTTTATATTCTTATTTAATTTTGTTTGCTATGTTTAATTTGTTTTTATCCTCTGGTATTTTGCAGCAAGATATTAATTTTACTATATATATTTACGAAGCTAATAGAGACTTTTGTAGTTTTGTATTTGAAACTTAGAAGAGTGTCTTTTCTCTATTCGCATTCCTGGAGCTGTTCTTATTTCACTACTTTTAGTTTTCCCATTTTTCTATTTAGCGCAGTGGGATAAATCTAATAATAAGACGTTTACATTTACAAAGTTTCTTTATCTGCACATAACGGAAATTTTTATTAAATTTTAAATACTTGTTTTTTACTTCGTTTGTCTCTTATTTTAATTCATTATCTCTTTCTTGAATTGTACTAAACATATTTTGTTTAAATTTAGCGCACGCACATCTGCATAGAAAATCTATAAAACTAAACTTATAAATACATATGTAAATACATATATATATATGTACCAGTATATGTGTAATAAAATTTAAATGCAATACAATATAATTATATACAAAAATTCGCTAGTTGCTTGCTGCGTTAATTTCGCTGTGAAATTCTTTATGCCACAACTCCCAAAATTAGTTAGATTTTTTTCTTTAATTCTGAACACATTTAAATGTACTCGTATATACCTTTGAGTTGGCCTATTTTATAGAAAATCATGCATGTATGCATGTTTGTATATTGCATATACCTGTACATACATTTTATTCTCTTACACCTACTGTTACAAGGAATTATATCATACGCTTAGCTTAGTTAACTTCTGCTAATGTGGATTTTTTCCCATTATCTGTGTCTATGCACACATATGCATGTATGTAGGCATGTGTATCTGTACACGGATTTGTATTAAGAGTACATGTTGGCTTGTTGTTTCGTACTGCTAACGGTTAAAGGTAAATGACAAGCTCATAACACACCGCACGCACGTGTCAGCAGATGTTTGTGTCTTCGCCATCTTCCTGGCTTGTGCGGCATGTCGTATGAGCAACAATAAGTCGCACATACTGTAAATTAGATGTATGCAGGTATGTACACATTTGTTTTAGCAGTTATATGCATATGTGGATGTATGCGAACGTACACATACATATATACATATATACCTACATACATACATCCATTTTAACTGTCACTAAGCAACTTTGTTTATTTTTGCATCACCACAGTTCTATGCACGTGTATATGTGTGTGTGTATGTCCCATTACCTGCCTGTACATCCTGTTGCTGCTGGCATGCCATTATTTTCCTGACGCCCTTTTGCCTCACATTCACATTCCCTATATCATTCGCTTCTTTGTGGGCTTCCAATATCTAGCTTGCTGGCTTTACATCGACCTCAAGTAAGGATTTAGTCTATTTTGTTGTCTGTTGGTTTGTTTTGCTTGTTTTCTTTAGTTTTTATATCTCTATTACTTTAACTTTATCCTTACGAACTCTATTCATACTTTTTGTTATTTTTTTATTTATTATTTTTATTTTTTTTGTTGTAACTAATATCTATGGATACGGTTGGCTATATATAGGAGTACGTATAAACTTACATGATTAAGAAGAAATGTCTTTTAGTTTTTGTTTGACTTATTAATTTCATTCTTGCATTTGCTGTCATTACACTTTGTGACTTTGTTGTCGACAGTTCTTCTTCTACCACCTCTAATCTCATACATTGTATTGATTCATTTTTTGAAAACTTCTTTGCCTCGTAATCCGTTTGCTTGTTGTTATTGTTTTTATATTTGCGTTTCTGCAAATTGACATGTCATGTGTTATGCCCACCAATTATTATGATGCTGAAGAGCATTGCCAATATGCAGGCGGTGTAGGCTTTTCGCACTGGAGCGGATGAAGTGACAGCTGATGCGGATGATTCACCTGTGTAAAAGATCAAAAGAAAGAGAGAGAGGGAATGAGAGAGAGTGGAAGTAAATAGAATAAACAAGTGGAATGATTCTTAGTTGCATTAAAGTGAGTAGTAAACATGATAAACCTTTTTAGGTTATGTTTCGCAGGATATCAAAAAAAAGACACATTTTATATATAGCTTCTGCGAAATAATGTAAATATAAGGTTTACTATTTTACAAGAAGACCAACAGGAACATTAAGCCATAAAACCGAATACTGGACAGACCAACAACCAAAATTAAAGAAAAAGGTTTGTCAAATCCTGATCGCAGGGAATATCAATACTTTCGAAGAATTCTCTGTAATTCAAAAAAAATGCTCTACATAACCCTCAAACTATTAGGTAGTGGCCTTAAGAATTTATGGCTAAATACTTTTGCCAGACTTTGCCTTTAGCAGTCATAAAGCTTCAGTTATATGTAGTACCTGTATGTACGAAGTAACAGAGCATACAGCCACTTTATCAGTATACGGAGTGATCTACGAATGATCTAACTTTTTATAAATTTATTTTCGACGATCTAGAGAGTAAATATATATATCATTGCTTACCAGGTTATACCCCCCCTCCGAATGGATAATGTTTTCTATCTGTATTTCTTGTTATAAATACACTCTGAGGTGTAACCTTCCCTTCCGAGGGGAATTTTTGCATGCCGATTGAACCAGGCATCGAATTCAGGCCGTCCTTTGTGTAGGCGACAATATGCCTTCGTGCAAAAATTTAACAAAGCATTATTAAAGCAAAACGAAGAATTTCATTTATTTCGTTTTTTGAATTGATCGGTTTCAGGTCGACTTTTCGAGGAAAACAGTCTTGCACCAAATTTCAATTGAGTTGAAATTTATATAAGATTTTTGTGTCCACTTCCTAGAGTAAAAAAAAACTCTATGTTAATTTAGTAAAAAAGATAATTTTTAGTTAAGCCAAATTTCAATTGAATAAAATCAAAAAATTAAGCTGATTTTTCTTGTGGTATTTTGCTTTAGTTCACTATTTGGATGATAAGATTTTCCTTATTTTCATTACGACAAGAAGCTACCTCTTGAACTACATTTTAAGTAAATCTATTTTTTGCGGTAGAACTATTTCGGGTCCACTTTTCGGAAAAAATCCGGACTTGTAAATTAAGTAAGACGTCCGAAGCGCCATTTAAGAAGTAAACGGCGGACTCAATTGCAAGTAAAGCAAACAACAAATTTTCGGGAAAATCATGACCTCTCCACTTTTCGTAAAAAGTATATTCTTTTTTCATAAATGCCATTTACTGAAAGCTCAGAAAGATTTGTAAAAGAAAAAAAGAAGCTCCAAAAACTAGGTTTTCATTACAAGTAAATCTGCTGAAGTAGCTACGAATAAGTGGTTTTTCAGCATCATTTTTCAAACACTGCGATGTGTTATACCTCGAAGACGATGAAAATTAATTAAAGACTTCTAAAAAAACATTTTCTTTACCTTAAATCAGTTCTAAAACTAATCAAGAATATGTCTTCACAATTTCAGTAGCCGATTCCACATTTTTTAGTAACTAGAGCAAATTTTTTTGGTTGAACGTCGAGCTGGTTCGAATGCTCGGCCAGAACTTTCAACTGCGTTTTCTCGATTTTTCATTTCTATAAGTCTTAGAAAATAGTGCCGGTGATAGCAAAAATAAAATAAAGCAAAGTATTAAGTTGTTTTCTATTTGAACTAAAAAAGTTGGACAAAAGCATTGTTAAAACTACTTGAAAATAATTTTTCTTCCTAAAAGTGAATTTTTTTTCATTTTTCGAAAAAATTTGGAATTTTCCAACTTCTTCGATAGTTTTTTTTTGTTTATATAGAAAAGACAGTAATAAAAATTAAAAATAAATTTGGTTTGACTGCTTCAGATGCCTCGCGCGGCCTCCAGAACTGACACCGTTTCACGCATTCAGAATGCAGCCACTTCAGAAAACTCATCAAAATATTGGGAAATTCCAATAATTTTTTTTTATTAAAAATTGTTTTCAAAAGTTTAAATAAAGTACATTAATTTTTCACAATCTCGCTAACTGTAATAATTGCCTTTCTTTTTATAATTAAAAAAAAATGCTTTTTTCGCGTTCTAATGGAGTCTACTGCCCTAAGTCATCGTATAATGACAAAAAATTTTTGTATCACAAACTACGATTTATTCTATGAGATTGAGTTTGCTCATTCGGAATGTGATGATTTGAGTAGAGATCTCACATATAAAGTATTAAATAAAAAGTGTGCGAAGGTCACAAATACACGCGTAAACTATCTTTTATGATTATGCTGCACTTGCCAGAGGAAGACTCTTTGTCAGTCTAAAATGTATGTATCACACACGGAGACAAGTCAACCTTATGGATATTCAAACGTGTTCTGATCCTGATTTTATCTATCAAGATCTTTTGACCGAGTTTTGCTTCTACTACCTCAACGTTTCAAAACCGCACTTTTCTTTTTTAAATATTTTTTGTACTAACTTAATATTTACCAGAAAATTATACAATAATATAGAAAGACGAAAAAATAAACAGAAAATTGTTGTTTTATTTTACCTAATCTAATAAATATATAATACATTTCAAATCGCAAAGTCTGACTGATCTTGACAAAGGGAAATTTAATATCGGCATTTGGCTGCTCAAATAAGTCTACGCTGGATTAGGCAAAAATTTTTAGTCAAAGAAAGAAAGAGGTCAGATATTTCGACTTAGACCAAGACTTTATGTTAGACCTGAGGCTAAACAAGTCATACCTAAGCTAAGTAGCTTCGATATTTGACAATAAATTATAAGTCATTCATATGTACATTCTCCTTTATATACATATACAGAGAGATACTGCAACATTATTCCCAAAGAATTTATTTGGTTTTTTTTTTAATTTTTCATTATGTCTTTATTATATTTTGACTTTTTGTTAAACTCTGGTGCAAACCTTTCGTTCATTTTATAAAATTGGAAATTTCCGCTTTCGATTATCGCTGGAACTGAGTTAAAGAATAGTAGTATCTTAGGGGCTTCGACGTTTGACTGTTTTTTACCAGCATCCAACGGGTATGCAGCTTTGCACTAACTAATTCGTCTGCCATCCATTTTGCATGTAAGCAACTGGTATTTTGAACACGTAAATGTGCTACGACATAGTATGGAACAGGGCGTCCGACGCGCTACAGCGTAACCTCTAACCAAGCGGCTATAAAGTGATGTACATTACTTTGCGCACTTCATTAAAGCAGTGGTGAGAATCGTGGTATGCCGATGTACCAACAACAAATGGTGGTGGAACTTATTATGTCTCTAGTTGCTGGTGAGGCACCTACACAAATAGGCAACTGTTTGGATTTCGGCTTCAAAATACAAGTATTTAACTAAAATTTTTGCATTTAAGTTGGTTTTTTTCCTGCGGTAATATATGTCAAACATACATTTTTTTGATATACGTGTACGTATTTAGATTCTGTAAAATTGATTACGTCGTAATTTTAGTATTCACCAAACTTAGATCGTTTTTCTTTTGAGCTGACAACTTTTCAGCGAAATAAATTTATTTATTCAATTTATTTATGCTAATTTGAAATACAGAGATATATGTTGTAATAAAAATTCATTAAACGCAGTAAATAATTTCCCTAACACTCACATCAACTAAATTAATTCTCAGAGGCGCGTGAATGGTTGTGTGTACTTTTTGGTTATAGATAAAATACACAATTTTGTTTAATTGAAAATATAATGAATTGTGGCATATGCTATGAGATTTCATTAAATAAATATTGGTGGTCGCCACATTTAACAGTGAAATTGACAGTTAACGACGTGGCTTAGGGCGAGGCTACCGAAACACGCAAAAAAAAAATATGTGAAATTTCAAATGAATTGCGATAAATTCACGCTAAATGGTTTTGTTTAGAAATTTACGCATGTTGGTGTATACATATATATATTTAGTATTTAATTGCATTCACAAATATGCAACTTAACATATGCGACATATGCAAATTGCAAGAGATACTAAATAAATTATTTATGCGTTGGTTAACCAAAACCGTATATGACTATTTTCAGAAAGTAAAAAATGCTGACACACAAATTGAATGTGGTGAATTCAACTTTGAGTATAGTGAAACAGGAAAATGAAAAAATAATAGCCAAGTGTAGTTAAAACCGTTAGTTGGCAGCACCACTGTTCAGCTCAATTCAATTTGACTCAAAGTCTAAATACCAAATGAGATCTGCGGAATGAAAAAACTCGTTTTTGTCTGAAAAACAATTAGCCGAAATTGGAGAAATTAAAATCGGTTTCTTTAATTTGTGCTTTACCAAAACCAGCAAAAATGTAATTGAAAAATTTATAAAAAAAAAAAATAAAAAAAAAATGTTTTGACAGGAAATAGAAAAACCAAAGCGGAAGACAGCCACAAAAAAAAAAGAAGAAAAATAAAAATGAAAGTTTGCCTTCGTTCATTATCAGCTCAATTTGTTGCTAATTAACTGCTTTTGTTGGCGATTTCACTTTTTCTCTATTTCGCAAACATTTCTCCCTTTACATACTTAAATATATTTTAGTATAAACTACTATGTACAACATTTAGGGTATAAGGAAAGGAAAATTGGCTTACAATTTAATTGAAAATAGTAAAATATATGGAATATTTATTTTAATTATGTGCTTCCACTTCTTTCGTTGTTACTGCCTGTTGACCTACTTTCCATACAGAAGAAAAGCCGCATGCATGTACTCGTTTAAACATACATACACGTATGTGATAAGAGAAAAGAAATTGAATCTGCTACTGGCGCAAATGTACCACTGGAACTGTTTATTTAAGTTTACAACAAACAAAAGCCAACACATAAGTAAATAAATAAATAAATAAAAAAAAACAAATAAATAAGTGAAAAATAATTTTTTTTATAAGAAAAAATAAAAAAATTCATTTACTTTAAACAGTCTTTGAAGTCTGTAGCTTA